CGGTGGATGTGGTATACCTGGATTTCAGCAAGGCCTTTGACAAAGTGCCCCATGATATCCTGGTGGAGAAGCTGAGGAGTTTTGGGATGCACCAAAGCACTGTCCGGTGGATTAGGGCATGGTTGACTGACCAAAAGCAGAAGGTAACCATTAGCGGGGAATCATCGGGATGGTGGCCAGTGACAAGTGGGGTCCCCCAGGGCTCTGTCCTGGGGCCGATCCTGTTTAATCTTTTAATTAACAACATGGAAGAAGGGATGAACAGTCTGCTGATCAAATTCGCAGATGACACTAAACTGGAGCAGTGGCCACAACTGAGGAGCAGGTACTCCAGATCCAAAAGGATCTGGACAGACTATGGAAGTGGGCAGGAGGCAACAGGATGGCGTCCAGTGTGGATAAGTGCAAGGTCTTGCACTTGGGGCATAGGAATGGGTGTCATAAGTACAGGTTAGGTGATAAGTGGCTGGAGAGCAGCACTTGTGAAAGGGACCTCGGGGTGCTGGTTGACTGCAGGCTAAACATGAGCCAGCAGTGTGATGTGGTGGTCAAGAGGACGAATGCCACTCTTGGTTGCATAGCCAGAAGTGTGGCTTCTAGATCGAGAGAGGGATTACTACCACTCTACACGACTCTGGTGCGCCTGCAACTGGAGTATTGTGTTCAGTTTTGGGCCCCTCATTACAGAAAGGATATAGCCAGGTTGGAGTCAGTGCAGCGTAGGGCCACAAGGTTGGCGGCCGGTTTGCAGGGGGTGGGGTGTGAGGCGAGACTGAAGGAACTGGGTCTCTTCAGCCTGGAGAAGAGGAGACTCAGAGGGGATCTGTTGGCGACATACAGGTATGTGAGGGGGTGTCACACGGAGGTGGGCAGAGACCTGTTCTCCCCTGCAGAGGAAGACAGGACGCGCTCCAACGGAGCCAAGCTCAGGGAGCCAAGGTTCAGTCTGGGTGCCAGGAAGCACTTCCTGACAGTTAGGACCCCGAGGGTGTGGAATGGGCTTCCACGGGAGGTGGTTGAGGCCCCATCGGTGCGGGTGTTCAAGGATAGGCTGGACATCCACATGGTGGGCATGTTGTGAGCGGAGCCGGCTGGTGCCGGAGGTCAGACTAGATGGCCCAGGAGGCCCCTTCTGACTCGCTCTGTTTCTATGTTTCTGCTTGCACTGGGTGTCTCGTAGAAGGGTTACTAGCAGCCCAGAATTCACTTCTGAAGCTGGTGGCTCAGTCCTGGCAGAGTTTAGCTTCATGGCCAGGGAATAAAGTTGCTCTGCATGACTCAGGGAAGAGAAAACTTGGCTGATGGGTGAAACTGATCGGAGGAAAGGGAAACCAGAAGATGCTAGATAAGACTGGTGAGGGAGAGGCCAGTCTGCTGATATAGCAGTGGCCAAGTAGGACAAGAAAGCCGATAGCAGGTCTTTTGCGCCCTTCCTTTCTCTCCTAGCTATGGCAAACCCTTCCTAAGTCAGGGGAAGCAAGGGGCAAAGAGGTTATCCGGGCAGCTGTTCTCAGACAAACTTAATCTCTTTCTGGGAACACAAACAACTCCTCCCTGGGCCCGCTGGAGGATGGCGAGGACTGCCCTGCAAGGAAACACACTCTCCCCGCAAAGCCTTCCCGGAGAGCTGCTGGAGGGGACACTTCACTAATTAGAAAGACTAGTGCAGAATGTGCGGCATTGTTCCTTGCTGGCTGAGGCGTGTGGGGAGCCGTTGACCTTTTTCCCGTCTAAACCCGCGGAGGGGGCGCCCAGAGACTGTGTGATTTGATCTCCGGCAACCTGGTCTCTTCCAGTGGCTCGGCTAGCTCCCAGATGGCGTTGGGGACTCCGGGTGAACAGGGTGGGCTTCAGTTCTGCGTTCGCAGGGTCGCGGCTGCCGTGCAGAAGGAGCCGCACGGGGCTTCCGCTGGTTCATTGACACCCCTGGAAGGACAGCTGCTTCCCAAGGGACCCACAGCAGTTCCGAGCTTGGAGCGTCGGACGCTCCTGCAGCCAATTTCATATGCCAGTATTTTAGCCAACAATGCCAATATTCCCTCCTGTTTTCCAGATGTGGTGCTTCACATAAGAAGAGTGCCAATCTGGTGCTCGAGGGCTGGCCTCAGGGTTGGGAGGCCTGGGTTCAAATCCCCTCGCAGCCTTGAGCCTCACCGGATGGCATGAGGCTGCTCACGGATTCTCAGCCAGCCTGCCTGCCTACCTTGCAGGGCTCTTGTGAGGATACCGTGGAAAGGAGGGAAGGGGCCACCACACTGGCCTGGGGTTCCTTCACAAGAGAACAAGATGGCAGGAGATGAGTAGAAGAATTAATCAGATGAACAAACACAATCCTCACCGGTCACGTACGTTTTTGCTTGCTGGTTACCGGCCTCTTCCCTGCCTCTAGCCCTCTTTCTCCTCTTTGCCTCCCCCACTCCAGCTTTGCTGTTCGACATTGTCGCTGTCGCCGGCTTGCAGAAGATGGCCAAGCGGAAGGGGCCCTTCGACATCAGCCCGGGCCTGCTGGACTACCTGACTATGGACGTCTATGCCTTCCCGGCCGGCCATGCCAGCCGGGCCGCCATGGTGTCTAAGTTCTTCCTGAACCACCTGGTTTTAGCCGTCCCGCTCCGGATCCTGCTCGTGCTTTGGGCCTTCCTGGTCGGCCTTTCCCGGATCATGGTTGGGCGACACCACGTCACGGACGTCCTTTCTGGCTTTGCGTTCGGCTACCTGCAGTTCCGGCTGGTGGAGTTTCTGTGGATGCCTTCCAACACGTGTCAAATGTTGATTTCCATGTGGTGAAGAGCGGTGGCCGCCTTACGCCCCCCTGCACACGCACACGCCCCGTGTTTTTCTTTTGTACGCACAGAAGACAATACTTTTTTAAAAGCGAGCATTCTGAAAACGAAGCACAGCATACAAACGCCCTGTGTGTCGGAAAGGACACCAGCTTCCTTCTGGACGACGACGATCTGGCCGCAACTCTTTGTGCCTGGCCTACTCTTGACTGGCCGTCAAGACGCACTGCTGTGTTTGGCCATGTTTTCCTGACTCCCTGTTTGGATGGCAACTTCCTCTGGCTGCAAAAAGGAGGCAAAGCAACCTTCTTTTGTGCTGTGTTGTCGTGTAGCTGGTGTGCTCTGGATGTAGGAGCAGCAAGGTCCTGGCCGTTTCATAGGGAAGCGCATGCATTTTCTTTCCCGGAGGATACAAAATAAAAGATGTGCCTGCTTGCCACCTGGCGAGGTACGCGGCACCTCTGAGATTGCATCGTGCAGGGACAGGTGAATTCGTGCATTGTGTTCTTATGCTGTCCGATTATTTAAAAACCAAACCAAAGCACTAAAGAAGCCTAGGAAAAGAAAACGGCCGGCGCTAAAAGAACCACAGGGTGTAGGCTCCAGGCAGGCTTTCTGAGGAGGGCATTCCGCTACCGGAAAGCCACTGCTAAAAAGCCCCTGTGCCGGGGAGCCAGCTACTCCGCACCACTAGACAGAAACTGCGGGGGGCCTCCAGAGCAGGTCTGGGCATACAGGCACCGCACACCACGCACCTCCTTGCAAGCCAGCCCCAAACCCCGTTTGTTGTCTGTTTCCTCCCCACTCCGCCTCATAATCAGGCCAAGAGGGGCAGCACAGCGGGCAGGATCAGTGAGCAGGGTCCCAGTTTGCACAGTCCAAACAGCCTGCGGGGCTTCATTTTGCTCCCCGTGGGTTTTGGAGCTTGTCGGCATTGGCCAGCGGGTTTTGGATATTCCAGACCCCTCGGTAACCCGCAGCTCCAGAGTTCAGACATCACAGCAAGCGGTGGCCAGGCTTCAACAAGCCACAAAGAGCAGTCAGGCCAACCGGCCCAGTCTGGTGCAGAGGTTCAGTGTTAGTCTAGGGCTGCAGAGGCCCTGCTTTAAATCCTTGCTCAGGCCAAAGCCCCCCAGAAGACCCGGGGCAGGCCGCTGTGGCTGAATGCACACATAGCGACAAGACGGGTGCGGCTTGTCATTACACGTCAACCCAGCATCCACGGCGAAGCGTGGCAAACCTGGGCGGTTTCCATGAAACTGCCCAGGGAAACAGTGGTTTGCCACCCGGTTTCCCTGCTTCACCGTGGTTTGTCGTGATGCGCGGCCCCAGCCGCAAAGTGTCTCCTGCCCTTGACTTGACCACAAGAGCCGCCGCAGCTGAGCGCCCTCGTTCCCTGCCCCATTCCCCTAGCTTGGCACCCCTGTCCGGTCGTGGCCCCTGTGGGGAGCAGTGCTCTGAAGTGGCCCGCAGGCCTCGCCATCACGGCCCCGAGAAGCCAGGCCCCCGCCCCGTCTCCCCACCCCACTGCTCCGAGCTGGTCCTGGCATTCCCCAGGGCCGTGAGCCAGGCTCCCCCCCACGGAGGCCTGGACAAACCCATGGGAAGGCAGGGCCAGACATCTTTCCCGGGCCGATGCCCCCATGAGCGCAGCCTGCCTGCACCCGAGGCACCCCCTGCAGCACGCACAAATCCTGCACACAGTGGGGCTGGACGCGTGCAGCAGGGAGCGGGGCGACAGGGACCGTGGGTGGCGGGCAGGCCAGCAGTGGGACTGGCCCCACAGTTCTGCTCTCGAGCAAGAGTGCCCCTCCAATGAGTCGGCTGCCGCTTTGCAGAGAAGCCGGGTGTGTTTGGGGGGGGGGCAAAAGCCATGGCGGGGGCCATGCCCAGGGGAGAGCGTGGGCCAGTGAAGGAGAGGCAGGTGGCCCAGGCAGGAGTGGTGCCGCCTGGGACTGTTTCTGAGCTGTGGGGGCTGATGGGATATGTGCTGCTATTTGGATGGAGACGGAGAAGCATGCAGAGAGACTGCACAAAGGTGTGGACATGAGGTGAGACCCAACCCCCCCCCACCTTGTGTAGAGGAGCTGTGAGGTGTTGCATGGCGTGATGTGTGAACACGGCCTTTGCTTTCATCTGGTCTACCTCACAGGGTTGCTGTGAGAATAAAACGGGCAGAGTGAAATCCACGGGTGTATGTCCTCGCTAAGTGGAAACCTCCCTTCCCACCATGTTGGGTGTTTTAAAGGTATATTATAAATTCCTGGGTTACAGCACCCCCCATGTACTACCATGGGGGTGGGAGGGTGCTGTCTGGTTTACTTTCAGCCGCTGACCCTTTTGTCAGCCAGGCATGAAGCCAGACTCTAACTTATAATAAAGGGCTCGTCAGGTCGGCCTGGTGTATTCCTTTAACATTCAGGTAAAGGGCTCTTGGGAGAGGAGGAAGTAGCTAGCCCCCCGTAAGTGGCAAGGAGCTGTAAGAAACCCAGCTACACCACGGCTCCCTGCAGGATCAGGGCCTCGCGAAATCTGACCAGGTTTAGTGATCTTGGTAGCTTACCTTTGGATTGCTTCCCTTTTTGCAGTGGCCGTATCCTGGGTCGGTATGTTCACGGGGCTGTCCGTGGCAGCTCCTCAGACCCTTTTCTGTTGGGTTGCTCAGATCCCACCTTGCTTATGTCCGGGGAAGGCAACCTCCGGCCCTTGGGCTCAAGCCGTCCCACCAGCAGCCACCCGTTCAGTCGACTTGGGTGGCCAACTTTTGAAGCCGACACTGTTCCTATGCCCCTTGAACATGCTTAGCGCTTCCTAGAGGCTGGTTTTTATTCCACTGCCATGCCAAGCCCTCATCTGCCCCTGAGAAGAGGAGGTGGATCTGGATCCAATACTGAGCTCCAACATCCAGGAGATGGCAGGCAAAAGGTTCTCTTGCAGCCAAATTCAGCATTCCCGCTGGCAAAATCTGCAATTTTTGCTGGCAGTGGTCACCTCTTCATAGTCGTTTGGTCATCGCTGCAAGAAAAAAATAAATAGAAAATCCATCCCTGGCAAAGGTTGCCCTGCTTGGGGCGTAAATAATCAGCGAGGCCTTGGTGTTCTGAAGGAATCCCACTGCAGTGAGGTTTTGGGGGTTCTTCCCCTGCCAAAGTGCCCTCCGCCGCTGGCAAACGTGCGGCTGCTTCACCGGATCAAGAGATTCCAGCAGGAGCAGGTTTCCTTGTACAGAGCCGTTCAGTGGGCTCAGAATGAAACAAAAGCTCCCCCGGATCCCCCCGGGAGCTCCTGAAATCACACCCTCTGGCATGAGGACCCCTCATGCACACCGATACCCATTTCCCTTCTACCTCCCTGCCCCAAATCTCCCCCTCTCCATCACTTCCCACTCTGGAGTCCAACTTTAAAGAGGTAGGGCTTGGACAAGGGCATCATGTAGCTGTTGGAATTCTAGAAGGATCCGTTCTTTTTTCATCGGTCAAGAGGCTCCGTCTGCCTCCGCTCCCCAGTTCCTGAGCCGAGCTGCAGAGCACAGACAAGCGCACGCATGAGATGCAGCGCTCAGTGTCCAATCCTGCCCCGCACCGCTCTGCCCGCAAGGAGCATCCAAGCAAGGAGGCTTGTTCTGTGTCTACAAACCAGCTCAAGCAGGTTTCCTTCCCACTCACCGCTCTTCTTCCATCAGGCTGGGCAGTTGGGCCCATCCAGGCCAAGCCACCCCCAAAATGCTTCTTGTCACGGCGGAGGTCAAGAGAGGGGTCCTGGGAGAATTGTTCCTCAGCCCCTGTTCCTGCTGACCTATTCTGAGGAGGTCAGCTGAGGTCACAGGGAACTTGGGATGAAGCCAGTGCCTCTGCCCCGGTTCCACTACATGCCTGCGCAAGAAGCCCAGAGGGGCGACAAGGGGGTGAAGCAGGTCCCACCAAAACCCTTTTGCAGTCCTGCGCAGTGGTGGTCCCAGCCACCAGAAAGGTCTGGATCTCAGGCCCAGAGGCTCCGAAAGGAAACAGAAGTACAGGTTCACATATGCTGGAAAGACACCTTGATCGGTTCCGTGGATGGCTCCTCGGACACCCAGAGGAGCTGCTGCAAGGAGAAGGACCGCCCCCCCCCCAGCTGAAGCGTCCATGGGTCCCAGTTGGTCCACCGGCACCCCAGAAAAATCCATGGCTCCCCACGTGACCAGCAGCAGTTCTGTCCCCTGGGTACCGTGTGTGGGTTCATCCATGCTGCAAATTACATATATGTCACACACATTTCAGCGCCTCCCACATGCAGGTGCCACGTGCCGTGATGCCACGTTGCAGTCGGGACTGGGAGGGCAGGGCTCCAGTCCCTGCTTGGCCGTGAAGCTCACCGGGTGCCTTTGAGCCGTTCATGGGCTTTGTGCTAGCCTACCTCACAGGGTTGTTGTTGTGAGGATAAAATCGAGAGGAACATGTCAGCGGTCTCGGGTTCCTTGGAGGAGAGAATGGCAGGACGTGAAGGTAAGACTAAATGCAGAGATTGCATAGAAACTGCTTAAAACTGAGCTGGAAGTGGGCAAGTTCTGTACACAGCTGGTTGCCATCCACCTTCTGCTGAAATACGGCCAGACGAGAGGTGCCTGCCTCCAGAGCAATCTGTCCTGCTGCTGTTTTGGGTTTGGTCCCTGTCGGCGTCTCTCCAAGGCTCCTTCCCATTGCTCCCATTTTGTGCTCCTTCCGATTTTCCTGGACCGTTGCCTCTTTGCCCCCCCCCCCCCGCTTTTGCCTCCTTGGCTTCCACCTTTGCATCTGGCAAATGTTTTTCCCTGCCACCCACAAATCTGCAAACGTTTCTTTTTTACAAAGCAAGCCATGTTTAAGCTGTCACCCGCAGAAGCAGAAATTTTTCCCTCTCGTTTAAAAAAAAAGAAACTTTCTTTTTAATAAATATTGAAAGCTTATTGATCTTTGCTCCTGGGAGTTGAAATAAAACCAGTGCAGATGGCTTCTCCATGGAGCGTGAAAGTCTCGCAGAGGAGCAGGGCCAGGGCGTCACTGTGCCCTTGCTTTCCCCATCCCTTGGAGAACTGCAGCGCTCCGATTTGTGGCATGTCCCCTCCATCAGCGGAGGAAACTACACAGTCATCGATCTTCCTTTGGCAAGACTTGGTTCTGTTTTCTGCTCATTCTCGCTTCTTCTCTTAAAGTGACGGCGCGCTTCTCGCATCGTCGCCTGCGCAGCCAGACCGGGCCCAGACGTGGTAGCAAAGGGGCTCCCGGCACACGGCCAGACGGACGGCTCCGCGGCCCCCAAGAACCCCAGGGTGCTCCCGCGGGCTGCACCCCACGTGTCGTGTGGGAGGGGCTAAGGGCTGAAGGGGTGGAGCCAGCTGCTGTCTAGAGGCGTGGCTGTCAGGTGGAATGGAAACGCGATCGAGCAACTCGCTGGCTTCCTGACTGGAGTGAGGGCTTAGGGAAGGCTTTGCAACCTCTTAGAATAGGGGAAATT